ATATTTCTAAGAAGCATGATTGGAGTACCGACCTTTAACGTGAGCACATGGTTTGGAACACCTGAAGCTCGAATGCCATTTAAAAATTCTGGTGAATGTAAATCAGATAAAACATCCACGTTTGAGTCTGACTTACAAATGCTATCCGAGCTTAAGTACGTTTTAGACTCATCCTTCACATTCTTTGATGTCATGTAATCATTAACAGTATCTACCACATCTAACGTTGGTGCTAGAATGGCTCTATGTTGCAAGTACGATAGGTCGTTTGCGATGATGTTAAAATCTGGGTATGTTGATTGCACAATTGCCTCGATGGGGTCATTGCAGTATTTCAAAACAATATCATCAAGAAGAACAATTTTTGCACACCCATCTTTTTCATCGCCTACATTCCCATCTCCAATATTAGCAATCCATTCCGCAAATTCAACCAAACTATGATAGTTTTCTGCGTGCACCATAGATTGCAATCTCATATTTTCTGTTAAGCGTCGAACTGTACAATGTTCCCAAAGGTGTGAAGAATTGACTGTTGCATTAAAAATATCTTGTCTGGTTCCCTAGGGAATTACTGGTAAGATTTGACGAAAATCACTGCCAAAAACAATTGTTTCCCCCCCCAAACAATTCTATCCAATGCTTCAAAGCAATGTTTGTGTCATCGGTGCTTCATCCCAAATGATAAGTTTTGTGCGAATTAACAGTTCAGCTAATGAAGTACCTTGCTTGATTTTGCATGTGGAACTCTCGTCTGAATGTAGTGGGGATAGAAAAACGTGAATGTGCAGTTCTTCCTCCCGACAACAATAACGATGCAATGCCACTCGATGCAACATTTAACACTATTTCTCCTCTTGAGCGGAAAAACGATGATAAAGTTTTCCAAACGAATGTTTTCCCAGTTCCTCCAGAGCCGTATAAGAAGAAAACCTTCCCGTCTCCATTGTCCACCGATTCAGTGATAATATCATATGCTGCACGTTGTTCAACATTCAACTTCATGAACAAACTTTGGTGTTCGTGACTTAAAGCGATGCGGTCATATTGCAATTCATCATAAATCATTCTATTGCGCGTGACACACATATTCTCCAAATTTGGATATGGCATTTCAGCATTTCATGCAAGCTCTTGCCACGCACTCTCAACAATCTCTCAATTTCGATCAAGGCAGAGTTTCGTAATTCATCTTCGCTCAGTACCAAATCTAAAAATTAAAAATAAGCTAGAATTATAGATTTCATAATATAAGATATATAAGTGATTTGATGTATAGGAAGAAATAAAATTTTATTTCACCTGGATGGTTAAGCAGTCGTCGCTGACGAAATTGAATATCATCCGCCATGTACTCCCAGCATTCCTCCCATACATACTTAGGCCTAGACATTGACTCGTTTGTGAGCAAGGTTACAAACAAACATCTCAATTGTCCTGCCGATGCCCAATGACTGCCTTCACTGAAAGCCCCGAGATATTCCTTATCATCGTCCAATAATCCAAGAGCGTAACATGTTTCACAGTAGGTATTATGTACACAACCATCTATTGTCCTTATATCTTCATAGTTCGTCGGCCCACGAACTATGTTGAGTAATATTCTCAAATAGTATGGCTCACCTAATCCAGGAGGAACATATGTTAACCTACCTATAGCAAATCCTCTTTGACACGGAACAAACTCTCTTGTAGCATCCTTCCATACAAAATGTTGGGGAAATTCAGCGTATGTTAAATTCTTTGCTTGAGGATATAACTGATTTGCTTTCATCCAAGCTAGAAATTTGCTCTCTCGTATACTTTCATGACGCACAACTTGTTGGGGATCGTCACCATCTTCAAAAAATACCCACTGTTCATTCGGTAAGTGAAAGCTCAGACGTTCAACATTTGGGAATTTGTATTGAACTGCAAATCCAAATATCCTCCATGGAGCCTCACAGGGAGAGACATATCTACAATTGTAATACATCTTTATTTCATTCGGAGGCTTTGTTGATGCATCTTGTGGAGTATCTGTATTAGCATAAAATTCTGCTGTCACACGATCATGCCCTTTATTTATGTACTTAAATAAGTACTTGATTGACCGTGACTGATTGCACCATTCAACATTAAGATGAGCACCGTACTTTAAAAGCAGATAATGGTTATGTGGGACGACATAACGATTGTCAAGCGTTACCCCATTCTTCGTGACAGTTCTTTCGTCATTCCTCCTTCGATATACTTCTTATCAACGCTTGTCTCCTCATTGAAATTTTTCGGAAAGTGCTTTTCACATTTTCCATTCTTCATACACGGTGCACGGGTAGCATTTTGACCGCATGGGCCATGAACCATAAAATCTCGAACTGCATTGTAATATGTTGGGTCGGCCTCTTCATCAGGTAATTCCGCCGAAATAATTCGATCAATATCTTTCGGAGTTGGAAATTTATTTTGCTGGCTTAAAAATAGCAAAATGTGGGCATGTGGTAACCCATGCTTCTGGTATTCTACAGTATAAATTGCTGTAGGTGTTTCATCTTCACACATGCAGCAATTTATACCGTAGAATACCAGAAGCGTGGTTTACCACATGCCCCATCGTACCTAGATTTTAACATCATCGCAAATGACCCATCGTACTTGCAACATAGAGCAATTCTAGCACCAACGTTAGATGTGGTAGATGCTGTTAATGATTACATGACATCAAAGAATGTGAAGGAGGAGTCTAAAACGTACTTAAGCTCGGATAGCATTTGTAAGTCAGACTCAAACGTGGATGTTTTATCTGATTTATATTCACCAGAATTTTTAAATGGCATTCGAGCTTTAGGTGTTCCAAACCATGTGCTCACGTTAAAGGTCAGTACTCCAATCATGCTTCTTAGAAATATTGATCAATCTATGGTCTTGTGTAATGGTACAAGATTGATTGTGACAAAATTGGGGAAGCATTTAATTCAACGAAAAGTTATGGGAGGGAAAAATGATGGGCACGAAGTTGTTATCCCAAGACTTTCATTGACTCCATTGGATAAAAGGATTCCTTTCAAGTTTCAAAGGAAACAGTTTTCTGTCATGACTTCTTATGCAATGACCATTAACAAAAGTCAAGGTCAATCTTTATCGCATGTTGGGCTGCTACTTAAAAAACCCGTCTTTAGTCATGGTCAGCTATATGTAGCAATCTCCCGTGTGACAAATCGTGAAGGATTCAAGATCTTATGTTGCGATGAAGAAAATAATGCCTTGGACTATACTTCAAATGTTGTATACAAAGAAGTATTCCAAAAATTATAATGCATTTGTATATGTATAACTTATTTATGTGTAATGCTCTTTTAGTATTTATGTGTAATGCACTCTTAGATGATATAACAATGCTATAAAAGGCATTGTTGTTCGAAATAGACGGTATTCGGGTGTGATATATTTTAAATTTTATTGTCTATTATATCTATTTGTTCTGATTTTTAAATTCTTTACACACACAGAGTAATTTATTATTATATTATTCTGACCGTGCATAGAACGTAGTCAACCTCATTAACCTACTGCTATTAATTGCTTAAATCATAACACATTTTGGGGGGACTTAAAAGAAATTTATTTTTATAATGCAATTAGTGGGTGGTTATTTTGAAAACTGTCTATCCACAGAAAACATATCCATTTTAATTATGAAAGCTTCACCTCCTCACTAAACTCATCTTTCATTTGGCAAAAAGGATATGGCGAGTACTCTCTAGCCATGAAAAGACTAACAAGAGGTGGAACTTATAGGATCAAGAGACCACTAGATTCGAAAGAAGAAAAGGGTAAATCATATTTAAAGAACACATACAGTTCGTCTTTACGTTTCGTGATTCCTATTCCTTTTTAAAAAATGGTTTTTAGTTAAACAGGCATTACTTCCTTACCCTATTTCTCGATGTAAAATGAAGCGGTTCTGCCGTGCTGCTTATTTAATTTTTTTAGTTTTCTTAATTTCAAATTGAAATACTTTTTGCGTTCTAAATTAGATTGTATGTTTACTCTTTATAGGTTCAAATTTTATTCACTTTCTTTCATTATTTTCGTTAGTCAGCGGATGAAATTATTTTTGTATGTATTTTGATGTAGTTTTAAAATATATAACTTTTAATTCTATACTGTTTTTTCATATAAATTGATTTGAATAACTCTAATCAAACATTTTAAATTGAAACAGACAATTTAAATTATGACGAAAAGAGTAATATTTTTTAAAAGAATATTATTTTGTTATTACTGATCTATTTTTATTAATAGGTAAATATATTTTAAAAAATTTATATAAGTTTTTAAATAAAAAATAATGAAAATTGTAAAATAAGTTATGACGTGACATTGAAAAGGGCGGGCAAGAGTCAGTCCCATTATACAGAAGAGAAGATCAAGATGAGCTACTCTTCTGACTTGACTCCACATTTTTTAAGAGCAATGTTATGTCCGAGGAGAATGCACGGGATGATGATACCGGAAGGGATACGCATGCACAAGATGAGGACCCGACATGCGCAGGGGTACGACGTAGCTCACGGCAGAGGAGAACCCCAGCATGGCAGAAGGATTATACAACTTAAGATTATTATTATTATTATTATTATTATTATTATTATTATTATTACTATTATTACTATTATTATTATTATTTGCTATTGTTAATTAGATTTTCGTAGGTGAGCGAATTATAAGCTCCTTCAAGGTTTCTTTTCGGTTCTTTACCTCGATGCTTTTCTTTGAACCGACAGGATAGAAAACATAGTAATTAGGCTGGGGATTTTCTATTTAAAAGGATGCGTGTACGTAATGAAGGATCATAATAATAAACCCTATTCTTCTCCCCATACTTTCTCTCTCTACTCCAAACCCTAACCCTACTTCTTCTTCCCTTCCCTGCGGCTCTCTCTCCTCTTTCTCCTCTACCTCTTCTCTCTTTTGCACGGCAAGAGGAAGCCAATATTCCTCTCCAGCGATACCAACGTATCATTTGGTGCTCTTGTTGACTTCACTCCGATGTCGGATGATATTCCTTCATCTCAGCCCGGCCACAAGGACGAACGCATCGACACCCTTCAGCATACTATGCATCAGATGCAGCATGATTTAGAGGCCAAGTTTGCTCGGCTTGAAGCATTGGTGTTGGCTAACAGGCCGCCGTTGTTACCTACTCCGAACGCTCGGTCTCCAGGAGGTGCGGGTGACTCTTCTTCAACGACTCCATCGCACCTGCCCAAACCAAAGCTTGAGGCTCCTAAAACAGACGGCTCTGACCCCCTTCGTTGGTTGTACAAGGTACAAGAATACTTTGCCTTTTATGAGACGCCTGTCGCGGAACGTCTCCGTTGTGTTACGTTGATGTTGGAGGGACCGGCTGCAGATTGGTTTCGTTGGCGCATGAATGGAAAGTTGATCACGGGGTGGCTGGATTTCATGGAACAATTCAAGCTCCGTTTTGATCCCTTGCACTATGTTGATTATTTTGGGCAGTTAGTGAAGCTTCGCCAACGTGGCTCCGTGCTGGATTATCAAACGGACTTTGAGAAAATTTTACAGCATGTGACGGGCGCATCTGAGGCTAACCTGGTCTCGTTGTTTCATTCTGGTCTTAAATCACACCTTCAGCACGAGATTGCCATCCTAGCCCCGAAAACCCTAGCGGACTCGTTTGCGTTGGCCAGGGAATTGGAGGCCAAGCATAACGCCCTCCTCCAAGTGGTTCCCCCACGCCTCGGATCCTGGTCCGTCTCCAACACTTCCCGCGTGGGAAACACTAGGCCAGGCCCTACTTCTCCAGGGACGGTGAGTGAGGACAAACCTCCTTTGGCCACTCCGATACGCCGCCTGACCCGTGCAGAGAAGCTCGAGAAAGATGCAAAAGGACTTTGCTACAACTGTGATCAGCGTTGGACGAAAGGACGAAAGGTCATCGTTGTGGGCGCGTGCGGTTGCTTATCGGTGATGATGACGATGCACCAGACAGTCCGGCCACTGATCCCGCAGAGGCCGATGAGGAACCCTTTCTCACCGCTGACATTTCTAGTTTGCAGAGCTACTCGACGGCAACCCCACGGGCACTTCGGCTTGTTGGCACCATTGGCCAGCGCGAAATTCAAGTTCTTATCGATGGGGGAAGTACCCATAATTTCATTCATCCGGGTATTGTTTCGAAAGCGCAGCTGCTTGTTACCCTAGTTACGCCCTTTCGTGTCTACGTCGGCAATGGCGATTACCTCCTCTGTGATACTCAATGCCTCAATGTTACCTTGGGATTGCAAGACCACCTATTTCCGGTCGACCTTTTTGTGCTACAAATTCATGGACCGGACGTCGTTTTAGGCGTACAATGGTTACAACTCCTGGGGAAGGTTGCCCACGATTACTCCAAATTGACAATGGAGTTTCGCTGGAAGGGCACCTCGATTCAACTCCAAGGGATCCAACATTCGCCGAAACCTATTTCTATGCACACTTTACAGGCCATCACGCACCATCACCACCTACAAGGATGCTTGGAACTTTGTTATTTCAGTTTGGAGGCAGAACCGAAGGAATCTGGTGCATCACCCCCCTTACTGCCCCAGTTTCAGCAGGTCTTGACAACCCACGCCGGAGTCTTTGCCACGCCAACTGCCTTACCACCGCGTCGGAGCGTGGATCACCGAATATTTCTACAGGCCGGCACCCCACCTGTTAATGTTCGCCCTTATCGTTATCCGCATTTTCAGAAAGACGAGATCGAACGCTTGGTGGGTGAAATGTTGAGCCAAGGCCTGATTCGGCCAAGTCGCAGTCCCTTCTCGTCCCCAGTTCTGTTGGTTAAAAAAAGATGGCTCGTACCGATTTTGCGTCGATTACAGAGCCCTCAACGCCGTCACTATTCCCGATCATTTTCCTATCCCCACGGCGGATGAGCTGTTTGATGAGCTTGGCCGAGCCCGGTATTTTACAAAACTTGATCTGCGAGCGGGGTACCATCAGATACGAATGCATGATCATGACGTATATAAGACGGCATTCCGCACGCATGACGGTCACTATGAGTTTTTAGTCATGCCGTTCGGTCTGACCAATGCTCCTTCGACATTTCAAGCGTGCATGAATCGTTTATTTGGCTCTTATTTACGTCGGTTCGTGATAGTATTCTTTGACGACATACTTATTTATAGTCCGACGGTGGAAAGGCATGCCGAACATTTGGAGCTTGTGTTGGCCCTGTTGGAGCGCCATGAGTTTTATGTTAAATATTCCAAGTGCTCTTTTGGTCAGGAGTCCATCGAATACCTAGGGCATGTCATTACTCGGGGTTCTTTGGTGGCCGACCCGACGAAGATTGAGGCGATGGTTTCGTGGCCACTTCCGAAAACTGTCAAACAATTACGGGGTTTTCTCGAGCTCACTGGTTACTACAGACGCTTTATTCGGCATTACTCTCTGATCGCCGCACCATTGACTGATCTTCTAAAAAAGGAAGCTTTTGTTTGGAGTGCCCAGGCCACTGCCGCGTTCACAGCCCTCAAAACTGCCATGGTTTCAACGCCGGTACTCCAACTGCCTGACTTCTCCATGTTATTTGTGGTTGAAACGGATGCTAGTGCTACGGGAATCGGGGCAGTCTTATTGCAACAAGAGAAACCAATTGCTTTTTTTCAGTAAAAAATTGGGCCAACATAGGGCTGCCGCATCGGCCTACCACCGGGAGTTGTACGCGATTGTCGAAGCCATCCAAAAATGGCGACAGTATCTACTTGGTCGAACCTTCCTCGTGCGTACAGATCAGCGGAGTCTTAAGGAACTCTGGCATCAAGTCATTCAAACGCCTGATCAACAGTTCTATGTTCGGAAGCTAATGGGGTTCCGCTTTCATATTGAATACAAGTCGGGGGCATCCAACCGGGTTGCAGACGCCTTATCCAGGAAAGACGAGCCCTACCTAGCCGCCTATTCCCTGGTCTTGATGTCACAACCAGTGCCGGACCTTTTACAACGCATCAAGGAGGAGAACACAACCCAACCCGATCTAATTAGATTGCATACGGCGTTCAACAACAACTCAGTGTCCACTGATTATTCTATGGCCGACGGCATTCTATACTTCCGGCGCCGTATCTACATTGGGGCATCCTTTGATCTCCGTTCCTTGCTCATTCGGGAGTACCATGATACCCCTATGGCGGGACACTCTGGGGTTACGCGGACATTCCACCGCTTGGCAATGGTGTTATACTGGCCATCTATGCGCGCCGACGTCACGAAGCAAGTGGCGCGCTGTCTTATATGCCAAAACCACCAAATACTCAACGTTGCCACCAGGGGGCCTTTTGCAGCCACTGCCGATTCCCACGCAGGTTTGGGATGACCTCTCTATGGATTTTATCACGGGTCTTCCTATGTCTCGCGGGTTCACGGTCATTTTTGTTGTAGTGGATCGTTTATCGAAATTCCTTCATTTGGGGGCCCTTCCAACGGACTTTGATGCACATCGCGTGGCGTTTCTCTTTGTGGATATTGTGGTTAAGCTTCATGGGTTTCCCAAATCGATTGTATCTGACAGGGACCGGGTATTCGTTAGTAAATTTTGGAGGCACTTGCTTAAATTGAGCGGAACAACTTTGCGGCATAGCACCGCTTTTCACCCCAGACAGACGGCCAAACGGAGGTGATGAATCGCGGCGTAGAACAGTACCTTCAGGCTTTCACGCAGGATACGCCGCACCGCTGGACAATCTTGCTGCCATGGGCAGAATATGCCCTTAATACTAGCCACCACAGCGGTCTGGGCATGTCCCCGTTTCAGGCGTTATACGGGCGGGAACCACCAACCTTGCTGTCGTACTCCCCTGGGACTGCACACTGCCGGCGGTAGATAAATTGCTTATAGAACGTACGGAGACTTTGAACCGGTTGCGCCACAATTTGACACGAGTACAAGAGCAGATGCGTGCCAGTGCCAACCAACACCGGCGTGAGGTTTCATTCTCGGTGGGCGATATGGTCTTATTGAAACTCCATCCGTATAGACAACACTCCGTCATTCGCCGACAATCACAAAAGCTCGCTCGCAGGTACTACGGCCCTTTTGAAGTTATTTCCAAGGTTGGGCCGGTGGCTTACCGCCTACGGTTACCAGAGGGAGCGCACATACACCCCGTTTTCCACGTTTCATTACTAAAACCCTTTCGGGGAGACGTCCAGGAGGTCCATTTGCCATTGCCCGCAGAGTTTGTCCGTGGGGAACCTGTCTCGGTGCCAATACGGCTGCATGCACAACGGGTAGTTCTTCGTAATGGCTCGCGAGAGGAGCAAGGATTGGTCGAATGGTCTGATGGAAGTTTGGATGACGCCACCTGGGAACCCTTAGGCCCTCTGTTGGAAGCATTTCCTAATCTCCACCTTGAGGACAAGGTGCATTTTGAAGCGGGGAAGAGTGTTATGTCCGAGGAGAATGCACGGGATGATGATACCGGAAGGGATACGCATGCACAAGATGAGGACCCGACATGCGCAGGGGTACGACGTAGCTCACGGCAAAGGAGAACCCCAGCATGGCAGAAGGATTATACAACTTAAGATTATTATTATTATTATTATTATTATTGTTATTACTATTATTACTATTATTATTATTATTATTATTTTCTATTGTTAATTAGATTTTCGTAGGTGAGCGAATTATAAGCTCCTTCGAGGGTTTCTTTTCGATTCTTTACCTCGATGCTTTTCTTTGAACCGACAGGATAGAAAACATAGTAATTAGGCTGGGGATTTTCTATTTAAAAGGATGCTTGTACGTAATGAAGGATCATAATAATAAACCCTATTCTTCTCCCCATACTTTCTCTCTACTCCAAACCCTAACCCTACTTCTTCTTTCCTTCCCTGCGGCTCTCTCTCCTCTTTCTCCTCTACCTCTTCTCTCTTTTGCACGGCAAGAGGAAGCCAATATTCCTCTCCAGCGATACCAACGTATCAAGCAATGCTAGGGGTACACCAAAAGGTGTACCCCAAATGTACACCACCCCCTTCTCCACCACACATTTTTATTTGATTTTTATTTACTTACTTTTTTAAAACTTTTTTGCCTTTTTTAGTGGACAAGGAGGATGTGGGAGACATATGGGGTACACCTTTGGTGTACCCCTAGCATTTTTCTTTTTTTAAAGGATAAAGTGATAAACCTCCTCCCTTGAGGGCTCTCTCAGATCTGATCTGGCGGTTACTAGGAGAAGGTAAATTGGATTTTGACGGTTACTGGGGTGAGGTAAGTTAGATTTAGAAATCATCCTAAATAAGACTAAAACATAGAGAAAAGTATCAAAACAGGACTTTCATGTTCTTTTTTCCCAAAATAAGACTTCACACTGTGGCAACGTGACATTATACATGTGTACATTACTATATTTTTTAGGTAATGTACATGATACTGTTTGGTAATGTAAATGAATTTTAAGTAATATTTTGAGAATAAAAACATGGGAATCTAATTTTGATATATTTTGAATTTTTTAGTCCTACTTTGGTCTTTCTCCCAATTAGATTTTGATCATAGATTAATGATAAACAATGGAATTATATCTGATACTTGTAAAGGCTCTATGCTTAGTATACTTATTTCTCAGCACAGTTATTAGGCGTAGTTATTTTCTTAGCACTCATTATCTTTCGCCTTGTTTCAAAATAGTGCTGTGAATTAGCGTTAGCTTTTGTATCAATTTCACAATACCCACCTGCGAACTCCATTCTTAACAAGGCTACGGCCCACGTGATGTCAAAATGTTAACGTTGATGTCAAACGTGACTTTTGTCAATGGTACAACGCCCACGGTGAACTCCATTCTTAACAAGGCCACGTGAAGCAAGTGAGTGTTTTCTTGCCCCTCACTCCCTCTCCCATTATTCCTATTCCCCAACACAAACACAACAACCAACAAAAGCCTCTTCCTTCCCCTTTTCCAATTACACATTTTGAACGTTTTCAATCACTGGCCCAAATATATCATCCAACGGATATCAAGAATCTCCCATCTCCTTTGAACTGCTCAATCCGTCTCCATGGAACGGTAATGCTTCTCACTTCTCCTCCCTTTCTTCTTCTTCTTCTTCTTCAATTCTTCACCTTTCAATGGCTCAAGCTTTGGGTCAATCGTTTTTCAACAGATCCGAACATTTTCCCCCGCAAGCGCCGAGAAGAGCGGCCTCGGCGCCGCCGGGCTCCACCACCACCACCAGCGTCCACGTGACGGCGCTGGACGGGCTGGTGAACGTGAACTCGCTGTTCACGATCGCGGTGTTCGTGGGCCTGTCGCTCACCGTGCCGGGGCAGAGGAGCCTGGAGGAGAGATCGGCGTGCGACGCCGGGATCGACGTGGTGAGGAAGCTTCTGGTCTTCGAAGTCGTCTCTTTCAGCTTCTTCCTCTTCTCCTCCCTGGTGGCGCAGGGCCTGAAGCTGGCGATCAATCTGCTCAACAGCAGAGACGTGGACGACGGGTTCAGGGCCCATGTGAATTCTAGGGTTTTGAGGCTCGGGATGATGGGCTCCGCCGCCGGATCTGTGATGGGCTGCCTGTTCCTGATGCTTTCTATGGTGGACGTGATCCAGATTCGGCTCGGGTTGCTCTCTTGCGGCAGTAGATCGGCGGTGGGCGCTGTGGCGGCGCTGGTTGTTCTCGTCACCTCCGGCCTTCTTCTCTACGTCTCCACCGCCGTCTATGCTTTTCTGCACTAATTCATTCATTCGTTCCAATTCCATCCAGAACCAACTTGGAGAGCACATGGGTCAACCCACTTGCACTTTTTGTGCACTTTGTCTTTTTTTTCTTGTTGTGAAATCATTATTGCTAACATTTAAAAAAAGGATAAAGCTATATGTTCCCCATATTTTTGTACCCCACTTTGTACCCCGCAGTTTTGCACCAACACTTTGTGTTGGTGTAAACCTAATTTTTGTTAATGCACCAACATTTTGTGTCCGTGTAAATTTTTGTTAACGCACCAACACTTGTGTCGGTGTAAAGTATCAAAATGTTTGTGTATAACTACGGTGTACAAATGGGGTACAATTTGTGATGTAAGTATAGCATGACCCTAAAAACAATTGAGAGGTTTTTGGTTAAAACCCATTCTCTAGTTAGGTACGTATTTAAAATGAGAAGAGGGAGATTCTTTAGCTTTTCAAATTTTAGAGTCCATTTGATACACGAAATTAATGAAATTGGAATTAAATTTGGAGTTGAAGTTCTGTGGAATTGAATTCTTCAATCCTAATTCATTTTTGACACTACAAATTTCAAATTCATACTCCCTCTGTCCAAAAATAAACTTCCCACTTTCCTTTTTTGTCCGTCCACAAATAAACTTCTCATTTTCTTTTTTGGAAACTTTTTTTTATACTGAAAAGACTTAACTACCCTCACTCTCCATTCCTTATCTTTTCTTTTTTTTCTTCCTTTTCCCAGTCAGTCAACCCACCACTAGGGGTGGACACGGTACCGGTACGGTACCGTGACCGGCAACGGTACCGCCGGTACCCGCCACCGTTACCGCCGTCGCCGCCGTGTCACCGGTTCCGGTACCTATTTTTTGGTACGGGTACCGCCGGTACCGGTCCGGTTTCGGTACCCGGTTACATTTTTTTTTGCTTTTGTTCATTCCCAACGGCTCCCACGGTCCCACCTCCAAAAAACAGCAAAAAAAATTAGTGGGGGGCACACCTCAAACGGCTATTTAGCCGTTGAGGTGGGGGAGGGGAAGAGGGGAGGGGAGGGGGGGAGGGGGGGAAACTATAAATTCTCACATTTTTTTTCCTAAAAAATCACTCAATTTCTCAATCCATCTCTCATTTTCTCATTCTCTCAATTTATCAATCTCTCAATCTTATTATCTCTTTTTCATTTTTATACATTTAATATTCATATAATAATATAAAATTTTTATACATTAAAATTTTGAAATTTTCGAAATTTTAATATATAAAATTTCGAAATTTTTTCAAAATTTTCAAAATTTAAAATATTATTAATTTTTAAATATATTCTTTAATCTTTAAATAATTTAAATATATTCTTTATTTTTTGAAATTTTCGAAATTTTAATATATAAAATTTCGAATTTTTTTAAATTATCAAAATTTAATATATTATTTTTTTATATCAAAAAATATATATATTAAAATGTCGAGAGAGTCCGGTAGAAGGTCCGTGGATATGGGCGCCGTGAACCGAAGTTTGAGGAGAGGCAAAGCTAAAGCCACCTCCGACGGTTCGACCTCACGCGGTTCTCGAGGAAGACACTTCGTCTCTTCCTTTCCTACTGTCCCAGATCATTTAATCGGGGACGGTATGACGGATGAAGAATTCAACCAGTGTAACACCCCAATTCGTATAACCCGGAATTATACGAATTAAAGTGAAACGGGAGAAATATTCTTAAAATATTTCCAAATCATTAAATAAAATTCATAAAACAAAAATTCAAAATATAACATATTAAATTCGGATCGATCCTTTTACAAAATGTCATAAATAACGGAAGACTTAATTAATACAAATACAATGATGTGGGTCAAGCCCCAAAACTTCAAATGCATTACTTTTGAAAATCATGCATGTCAACCTGCCATCCTATCGTCTCTTCGTCCTCCGGGTGGTTCACATGACCTGTGCTTCAACCTACGTGTAGACAAAAAGACTACACGCTCAGCATAAAGCTGAGTGGTACGATAACGCGAGAGATCGATAACATATTTATACTTAAATACCGTGCATCACGTTGGCCACATAATTTTCATGCTTGCATAGTAGATAGCTCAATATACAAGAACACGTATACATATCATGGAGATTCATTTTGGAATAGTATCCAAACATAAATACCTTGGGCTTGTCGTCGACGATGTTGGATATGAAGTGCAGTATGTTTTGCCATACCACATACAATTTGATAATTTCGATTTGTATAACTTACAAGCGATGCAATGTCAAATGATTCATGATGCATGAGTTAGACTACGCTATTAGGAACTCCCCTGACTTAGTCTCACTTGACAGGATCACCCCTGCACTTCGGTAATGACCCGGGCTCGACAAAACGTCGCAAGTGAACTAGCAAAATTGGGTGGTAGCCGTAACCTGACTACCATGTACGTACACAAAGCCCACCTGATGAAAACCCTTTGGATCCCGAAGGTTCCTGGACGGGCCCACTGTAGTAAGTGCACGAAAGCCTGACCTCCCTACAGCGGTATGCACAAGATGACGAACCTAGGACATACGTCTAGGATGAACATGATGAAATGAATGCATTGATTGAAGAAGGAAGTTAAATTCTACGCATACATATGTGTTTGATTACAATTTGTTCAACATGATGGCCTTAGGTTCAGAACTGGCTGATAATCGAGTGTCTACTGCTGATAATCGATTATCTGTGCAGCTTCTGTCCCCAAAGTCCCGCAGACTGTGATAGTCGATTGTCACCCTATGACAGTCGATTGTCAAGTTGGTTTGTTCAGAAAATCCTAAGTTCAGAGAGCCTGACTTATGATCCCGAAGGCTTATATTGAAAGCTAAGTCTCGGTTTTTAATCCATATTTCAACTATTGATTCTTACCTTGAAAGCATTTTGATTTCGAATCTTTCTAAAAATTCAGCAGCCCTTGATAATCGATTATCACTTGTTGATAATCAATTATCAAACTTCTGCAGCCTCTGATAATCGATTATCACTATCACTTTGTGATAATCGACTGTCAGAGTTCAGCAGCACCTGATAGTAGATTATCAGAATTTGACAGTCTACTATCGCAGTACTTGGGTTCCTCTTTGGTCAGTCGAATTACGTTCAACCTTTTAAATATTATAATGAACATGTAAGATTTACAAATATATCTAAATATTGAGTTCCTCTGGATTCCAAATGGGTTTTAGATGATTTCTTTTTCAACGAGTTCCATATCATATAGCCTTATGGCGAGAAAACTACGATCATACAGTTTCAACGAAGGTTATGCCAAGTAGTAGAGCATATAGAGTAACAAATATACATTCGTTCATACATGTACAACACATATATTTGGGCATGGATTTACGTGTTCATGTAATCTTCTAAATGTGGTCTAGGTGTTTTCCAACTTGTTCACTCACCTGTCAAATTTATGCACTTTTACGTATCTAGTGATGCTATTGTGATACTCATTGGTATTTCCTCAAACCTAAACATATTCTTCATAATCTAACTGTTCTTCCACATTAATTTCACAATCCTTATTGTTTACATTGGAGTCAATCATCCATTTAGCCTTGTATAATCATTCAATTTCATAACGGTTGGAATCCTCGTTGTTCTCTACGCAACGTTAACAGATCAAGAATATATCATGATATGAATCTATATACAAATAATCAAATAAACAACAAACGTATTCACATATAAATATATTAAAGATTCCTCCGTTATATCTAGGGTGTACATACCTTGGATACGACACAACGTTAGAAGGGACCGAATGAATCAACGTCAACGAACGGTTGTCAAACCGTTGACCTTCCGACATCCCAACGGCTACTTGAGTTCCGTTTCTTCTCGAGAATATGTTATACGGGTTGTGAAGAGTCATCACGCATTCAACGAGTAGCGGATTGGATGGGACGAAACGAGAACGGAGACGGAAGTTGCAAACCTTGCATTTTCCGTTGCCACTGGACCAGTTTTGGTAAAACGGCCGTATCGACTTCGTTACTCGTCCGATTGACAAACCGTTTGCGGCTATGGTTCACCAACTCGCAGGGCTACAACTTTGGTCAAGAAACCTAGACCAAACCGCGAGTTTAAGATGGTCGAAATTCAGCCCAAAGTGGGCTGACGGGATTTGTTATCCAAAAATCAGCACCTCCTTCTTCTTCTCGTCCTTCTCCTTCTTTCTCTTCGCCGGAGCTCCGTCGTCTCCTGGGATTCTACTAGCCGGCATCCATAAGGAAGAGGGAGAGTGAGGGAGTTGGATGGTTGGTGGGTTACCAAATTATGGAGGAATGGAAGGAGAGGAGTGGATTTATAATGATGGGGAGTAATGGTGGTGAGTGGAGAATTAAAGATGTGAATGAGTGTAGAGATATGGGAGGGGAAGTGGCGTGAGGTTTTAATTAGGGAGTTACCTCCTAAATACCACTCCGTTGTGTAAAGTCTGACCTGAACGGTACACGATTTTTCCCCCGAATTTGCCCAAATAGAGAACTGATTGCATTTTCGGAAATAACCAGTCAAAACTAAATTTATGATATCTTGAAAATAGTTTTTCTAGAAACTTTATTTTCAAACTTCCGAGTCAATCCCAATCATTAATTAATTAAATTTAATTAATTAATGTTGAGAGGCCCGTTATTAAAATACATTAACTTTGGAAGCCCATTTAATGAGATCGAAATCTCAATATTTATTACTTAAAATAATGAGTCTCAATAAATAAATAATATTTATTTACTTAAAATATTGGCTAAATACTAGGCCGGTTTGTGGGGTGTTACAACCAGATTTATTCTGGTAGAGGGGACGCGAATCTCCCCACTCTTGATAGTCTATTCGAGGATGTTGATGAAGTAGGACTGGATAATCTGGACAGGGACGATGAGCCTACACCGCAAAGCAACGACGTCGACGTGGAGACAGGTGAGCCCGAGAGCTCTCGAGGTCCGGACAAAGGTAAAAAGAAATTAAAATCAGATTTATTTGTTCATCATTTTGACAAAGACACAAAAGATGGCGTAGTTTATGAAATTTGTAAACATTGTGGGACCGTTATAAAAATGGGAGTTTCCGGCGGTTATGGCGGTCCAGAAAAACACCTTAGGTCGAGGCATCTCGTGGAGTACGCCAAATACGTG